AACGAGTGTGAAATGTGTTTGTTCTTTGATGTTCATCCACCAATGTTTGGAAATATGGAAAATCAGTAGACCTTGTTAGTATAAAATAAAAAAAATTAAAACCTTACCAGCACGCTTACAAAGCCTCACTTGGCCACTCCAAAGAAAATTCAGATTTCACTCCATTTACTCTCGTGTTTGCACTCGGGGATATGTTTCTTGTATTATTTAGATCCCTCTTCTGTTATCACCCTCTATGTTGCATTTTTCATCTCAATTCTCTCTTGTTAGGTCCTTTAGAGAATTAACTCAAGATTGAGTAAGTTTTCTTTGTTTGTGCATCGGTAAGAGGAAATGGTTAATATAGAAATGGATAGGGTAAAATAGGATATAATATGTAAGAATGAAAGAAAAATGATGTTTGGAATATAAAGAGAAAGTTGAAGATACCTTACAACCCAAGTTACAACACTTACTATATTCCATCACAAGAAAAAACATGGATACCTCTTTCAACTTTGATGTTGGCAGATTGTAATGTACTTCATTTTGAATGTAATTGCAATTTTTTCTTCAACTTTTCCTTTGTTGGAACTTTGATTTGACTTATTTCTTTCTTTTGCTTTTCTTTTTGTACTCCTTATTTGATATAGGAGTTCTTTTCTTTTGTTTTTATCTTTTTTCATTCTTTTCTTTTTGTTGCAGTACTTATATGTCAATCCAACTAAGCTCTGAATACCACTTGATATAAGGCTATCCAAGCTTCTTCAATGATGGAGAAGATGGAAACCTTGTTGTTTCCTGATTTAGGAGATACACCAAATGCCACACTTGAATTACAAGTAATCTGCACAAATTATAGAAATAAATGATTAAATGGAATAAGAAACAATTGAAAGAAATGAATTGATAAAGAAATAAAGGAATAGAGATGTTATCAAAGTATGTTGCGGAAACGGTGTTGAAATATCCTTCAAATGGAAGATGATTCGACCCTCAATGATGATAATATGTTTGCCTTGATGATGAATGAAGGATGTTCTATGGTGATGAAATGGTGATGGAAATGTGTAGGTGCAGTTGTGAAAATGATGGAAGATGGAAAGGATGAAGATAGTATCTTAAATAAGTTAAAGAAAAAGAAAAACTATAGAAAACTTAACCCTGTTCTTTATAAACTTAAATAAGGGATGGTAGGATTGGACTTGAACCCTCTAATTATGTAAACTAGGAACTGAAAGTATCAAAGGAAAGGATGGATTCCACAAACCTAGAAAAGTTTGCTTAATCGATAAAGTTCTTAAAGAACTTGCAAGAGGGAATTCTCACAAAGATTTTTATATCCAAAAGGTTGTTTACAAATGAAATGCAATAGCCTAGTTATAGTTTTTAAAGGGTTTAGGCTGAATAAACACATGATGGTTCAGCTAAGGCTGAAACCCCTTTGAAAATACATGATTTTAATGATGATGCATGCTCTTGGCCGAATGGTAAGGTGTTGGTTCGGCCCTAAGGTTGTTTTGAATGCATTTGGAAGTTATTTGGCGCCAAAAATGAAGAGGAATTAGTCTTTGTCTGAATAGAACGCCTCCATTGGTGTTTTGGCGGTTATATGATGTCACATGAAGTGCATATACTTAGATGATGCAGATGGTAGCCTACTTGAATGCACATGGGTCTTCTTGCAATGTTTTAGTGAGGTTGCAATCATTGGATGATGTCTTGATGTCCTTGGGCAGCCTAGAGATGAACTAACTTCAAGGTAAGCTAGGTGAGTGTCTTGGTAGCTAATTAGGTGAGCTATAGCTTGATGAACTCAAGCTAGTTAGCTTTAGTCTTCTCAGCTCCTCAGCTACTCTGCCAGTTAGCTTTGGTCTTCTCAGCTCCTCAGCTACTCTCCCAGCTACCTTTAGTCCACTTTTCAGTAATTTGGTCCAAAGCTCTCCTCTAGCTAAGTTTAGCTACATGCTACCTCCTCTAGCTAAGTTGAAGCACCTTAAGTGATGAAATGAGCTGTCATAACGTTCATGAGCTTGTGTGAGCTGCTATGCTTGTCCTTTTAGCTAACCAAGCTACTCTAATATTCCTTGCTTTGTGTTTCACCTATAGGAATCAACAAACAAATAAAGTAAGCAATGTGTGAGCTCATTTAAGGTAAAATGCATGCTGTCATAAGTGTTTGAGTGATAGAGCTATGAATGATTGTCTAGAAGCTAAGATACATGTATAAGCTATATAGAAGGTATAGGACGTTCATGACCTTTAAGGAAATATATGAGCTAGAAAATAGATGAATTCATGCAAATGAGCTAAAGAAACATGGTTTTAAAGCTAGTGAGCTAATCTAAACATAACATGAGCTAGAATAACATGATATGAGTTAATGAATGAATGAATACATGGTGCCATGATATGTAAATGATATGCAAACATAATAAATGAATCTAAGTAAATATGTGGAAACATATATTATGCATGAAATCATAGTATGCAAGTGAATGATAACATATGATTATTTAAGCATAGTTTTAGGAGCAAAAGTATGCTTATAACATCAAGTGATGCGTATAGAATATAATAAAGGATAAAATAAGGAAGAACTCCCTTAGAATCAGCTTTGAATAACATCAATGGTGTGATTAAGTAATGAGGAAAGTTGGAGCTAGTTTGGATCGTATCATGATCAGCAAGCATGTAACAAGTTTGTGGACTCTCTAGGTACACCAAACATCAAGGGACTCACAATTCGGTCAAAGCACATGTTACTTCACTTTGGCTCTAACTTGAATAGGCTCAAGCATCATTCGGCCAAGAATTATGCATCTCTCTTCCACCCAAACAATGACACCTTCATGCATGTAATTAATTAAATTATGACTTTTCAAAGGGATACAAGGATGATCGAAACCTCTTGTAAGAATTCGGCCATGCCCTTTAAAATCTTATAAATAGGTTAATTCATTTTCTTTATAGATACACCTTTCATATAATTTATCAAGTGAGGTTTCTCTGCTCACGTTGATCTATCTTAATTGTCTTGAATTTAAGAATAACTTATCTAGATAAAAGGCTATCTCTCGATGCTTTACAATGCCAAGACATGTTTTACCAAAATCCAAGGCTATCTCTCGATACTCTTACAGTGCTAAGGTAAAATATTTAAACTATGAACAAAACAGTCATAAGCGAAACATAATTCATCATTCATAAACATAAAAATATTATTCAAGCAAAACAAAGTTTAACACCAAGTAAAGCATTCATGGTTCTATCAAAGATCATCCAAGATTTAACGTTTAATACAATCCTAAATAGATAAAGAGTTAAAAATAAAAGAAGAACAATCCCAAAACCAGGAGCTCTGTCGCGACAATCTTGATCAGCACCGCATTTACCTTGGTGATCACCCTCTCTCGAGGTCTGATCACCGCTCTGCTATTATCTGGCTATGGAGGACACCAAGGAAGGTTGGTGGGTAGACGGTGGAAAAGCACTGCAGTTGTTTGCTCACACCTTAGGTAAAGCTCTTCTCTCTTCTTCCTTGCCTCCTTTATTTGGCGGCTACGACTGGTATTTATAAGGAAAGACCTCCTAGGTTTTTGTCTACTTTTGGAGTTTCATTAACTAGCAGTTATTAATTTCCTGGACTTAAAAAGGAATGGCGACTGGAGACTGTCAGAATAATTGACTCTAGCTTGCATATGATGTAGGTCATCCAGCTGGCATGTGATATAGGCGGTTTAGCCACACCTGCTTCAGACTTCCTCAAATAAATCTAGCCTTGGTGTGATAAATTTGCTCCTCAGGTTCTCATGTGTTCCGTTGGCCTCTTTAATTTTACATTGCCTGGACAAATACAACCCAAACATCCCTTTCTCTTCAGTAACATCAGTCAAACCAAATAAAACTTGCCTAAGCAAAACTTATACACCACAATCTAATATAATCTATATGCAACTAAAAATGCATTGGATACTTTGTCTAGACTAGCAATAACTTAAGTGAAAAGACTAGGAATTAAGTCTTTTTACGGAGTTATAACACCCCCAAACTTAAGCTATTGCTTGTCCTCAAGCAATGGATACTAGCTAGAAGAGAATTAAAATTGTCAAGGCAAACCAGTATTAAGAAAATCATTTGGTTTGAGATTTCATCCCTCAGCAAAATTTGTTTAGCCTCAACATGTTCGACGGTCATATAAGTCAAGTCCCTTCACTAGTCAGGATCCCTTTCTATTGTGTGCGTGATTGTAACCAGTCTATGCATAGAGGTAATTTGAAAACTTAAAGTAGTACTCCTGGTTTATAAGGTAACAAATTAATCATCAGGCTTAGTTATACTTCTAGTTATTATCAACTTTTATTCTCTTTATTCATTTTTTTCAAGTGAGTCAGCTCATCACAACTACCGTTCCACACTCTAGGTGAAAGGGAGCATACCTTCCACCCCTAAGCTAGTCGGGCAGAGTCATCCTATGACTACTTTTATTCACTCATTAGCCTTGGCTACTCTTAATTTGTTTTGGAGTTTTTCTTGTTCATGCCTTTGCACAGAGGAGTGTCCCTTTGTATTTTCGAGTTTTCATGTTTTTAAACACTAGAGAGTTTCCACTTTACCCTTAGAATATTTTTGCACTCTCGGAAAACAGAAAGTTCTTTCCTAAAAATTTTACAGAATATAGAGTAAAAAAAGCCTACAATCATGTTTATAAATTTCAAGGAATCAAGCATGAGGTTGGTTCTCTTCTTTAGACAGTCTTAACAATAGTTCTGGCCTAGGCAATAAAATTATGCATTCATCATTGGGCATCTCTAATTCATTCCTAATAAAAATCTCAACCTGTTTATGTCATGACAACCAAAATTCTCAAATAATTAACATCAATTGCTTTATATCAAAGTATAGCAGACTATGGTACAATACCACCCCTAAACTTGAGGGATGCATTATCCTCAATGCATGAAAACTAAACTACATGATTCTAAATGCATATACGACAATGAAAAAACTAAAGTACAAACTCACTGTGGTGGGGTGGCTTGACTAGACTCCCTCGTTCGGTGTCGTTTGGGAGGAGAGAGACTCTTGGATCCAGAGTCTACTACTGATGGTTGAGAAAGAGACGGCTGAAGTATACGGTATGCGGTTCTCTTGTAACTCTTCTTGCTCGATGAGGCTTGTGCTGGAGTGGATTGCTCGGCCATAGGAGTTGGTTGTGCTGGGATTGGTGCTGGACTAGTAGCTGCTGTTGGGACTGGCGGTGTTGGATGGACAGGGGACTGAGTAGGATCATGATCAGGTTGCGGCGGAGCTGGTAAGATCTTCATCGGAGAAGAAGTGGGGTGAAGTATCATCACTACTTTCGAGGTTGAAAAGGAGAAGAATGAGGAATTCTTCTGTGTCGCCTTGGCTTTCCTCTAGTACAGGTGGTACTTGAGTTGCTAGTGGTGGCACATCAACGGGTACTTCTGGGGAACCTCTAGAGGTGAATGCGATGTCGAGGCATCGAATGTGCTCTATCCCACATTGTATTTGAGGATGACAGCGAGAAAGTTCAGTAGTAAGATGTTTAAGTTCAGGAGTAACTCCTTGAAGAGGGTGTTGATTTGCATATCCATAGCCTTGACATACTTGAAGTAAATTTCCATGTGGTCCTCCAGACGATCGATCTTTTCACATGTTTCTTGAGTGTGTGTGACCACAACAACCATTCTAGCCACGGTAATCGATTTTGCTCCTTGCTCAAAACTTTCCTTTGGGTCGTCGTCATTGAAACTCATCAACTCAGGGACCTTTTTCTTTGTGATACCCTCTTTTGGTTTAATATAATCTTCAAAGTGATCCTCAGAAACCTTATTCTTCTTGCATAATGTATTTATCAAGTTGGGAAACAGAAGGTTACCCAGTTCCTCTTGGTATAGTCATGGATCTGCTAAAAAAATGAGTTCTCCAAAGTCAATCTTCCTCCTGTAAATGATCGAGTGTAAGAGCATCAATCTCTTCACGAGGATAGTTGTGTTATGAGACGTTGACATCAAATTGCCTTTGAGAAAGTGGTTCCACAGTTTCACGTGCGGTTTCAATGTTGAACGATCAACTCATTTCCTAGTTGGGGCACTCCCTTCGAACTTGGCCCACCTGAAGCAAAGATCCTACAGTACACCACTATATTTTTCTTGATCGGCCTCTGCCACAAATCTCTTATGTTACTCTTCAACTTTCCCTAGCTTAAAATATCGATTGAGTGCGAAGGGGGAAAATTGTATGAGCTTTCCTCGAACATAAACTGTATGGCTAGACGAGTCCTCGAGATGGGCATAGAATTCCCGTACCATCGCCAGTGCTACAGCTTTAGGATTGCGAGCAAATTTCTCCAAGTTGTGCTTCTTTATCACTCCATCACCTCTAGTCCAAACGGCTCCTCTTATTTGGTTGAAAAAATGAATCCATCTTCCAAATATACTTTGCTGAATTTTGTGGTGGCGATGAGGAGGTATTGTTGAGAGAACAAAAATATTTTCTTGTTTGTAGAGAGAGAGGGAAACACGATGAAAAAGAAGAGGTTGGGTAGTTTTTCTTGGGAAAGTGATGGGTGGTTTCGAAGTAATTCAGTCATTTCATGGTGGGGAAAAGATTTCTCATTAAATGAGAATTATTTGATTGGACGTAAAGGGGGAGAGAAGGTTTCTTTCCCTTTTTATTCTACCTCCAAAACCGTGTACCCTAGGTCTTTTTCTTCATGCATGCTTCAACTCCCCATGCTGCTACGTGTTTGTTGCTTGCCTATAATAAAAAAGAAGAAAATAATAAAATAAAAGGGATTAAAATAGAAAATAACTTAACTTATTTATGTACAGAATTCAAATTTTCGTTGCCTAGGCAACGAATATTTGCTCAATTAAGTAAAGCAAATTCTTGGCATCATGAACCAATGATGTCAGTTTGTCGCGCATGATTGGGGCTCATTTGTACTCCTTGAGTCTCTGCCGTTCATCTTGAAGATGGAACTGTCGTTTTGGTTTTGAATTTCAACTCCTCCATTGTCATAGACTTGGTGAACGATAAACGGTCCTAACCATCTTGATTTCAGCTTGCCTGGGAATAACATAAGGCGTGAATTGTAGAGCAGTACTTGTTGTCCAGGATAAAATTGTATCGGCAATATTTTTCTATCATGCCATCGTTTTGTTTTCTCCTTGTAAAGGTGGGCATTATCGTATGCATGTGCTCTAAATTCATCCATCTTGTCCAGCTCTAAGAGACTTCTTTCTCCAGCAAGCTGAGCATCCATGTTTATCTTTTTAATGGCCCAATATGCTTTATGTTCAAGTTCAACCAGTAGATGACATTCCTTTCTGTAAACCAACTTGATCGGGGATATTCCGAGTGGTGTCTTGAATGTTGTGCGATAAACCCATATTGCTTCATCTAGCTTCGGCGACCAATCTTTTCGATTCAGGTTGACCACTTTTTCAAGGATCTGCTTAATATCCCGGTTAGACACTTCAACTTGTCCATTCCTTTGAGGGTGATACGCCATAGCAATCCTATGTCATACTCCATATCGTTTCAGTATCTTAGCAATCAATTTGTTGTCAAAATGTGTGCCTTCGTTGCTAATTATAGCCCGTGGTGATCCAAAGCAGGTGAATATGTTTTTGTACTAAAACTTTAGCACCGTCTTGGAATCGTTTTTAGGTGTTGCGATGGCTTCCACCCATTTTGATACATAATCCACTGCCAGTAGAATATACAAATCTCCGAATGATGATGGGAAATTTCCCATGAAACATATTCCCCATACGTCAAAAAGTTTGATTTCTATAATATTTTTCCACGGCATCTCGTGTCGTTTCGAGATGTTTCCTGTTCGTTGACATCTATCACATGACTTGTATAATTCATGCGCATCTTTGAAAAGGGTTGACCAATAAAATCCAGACTGAAGCACTTTTGTTGTTGTTCTCATTCCACTAAAATGCCCTCCATATAGTGATACATTCATCACAAGGCTCACATCAAAGGAAGAAGTAATAACTCTTCCAAATGATCCACTCGTCCAAGCTTTGGAAAAGAAGATCAGAACAGCAGCAGACTTACGACGACTTTTTGAATGGGATATTAATCTTATTTGGTCAACATGTCTTCTGGAGATAAAACCTTCTGTCCCTTATCTTTCCAAAGGTTCATGAATCGCATCAATCTGATATCGGGAACTCAATATATAGTCATTTTACTGAAGACGGTGCATGCAGAAAATCTTATGCGAGATTAATACGGGATTTTGTAAATATTACGAATTTTCAATATTTTTATTGATTATTTGTAATATAACTTAATATCGGATGATGCATTATCTTTAAGGATTATATTTATTATTTTATTAGGAATTAAGGTTGGGTTAAAATATTATCTTTAGTTATTATTATTTTATTAGGAATTAAGTTGAGACATATTTAGTTTATTATTATTTTATTCATTAGTTATCTAAGGCCTTTAGAACTCAGCCCCTATATAAAGGAGGTTTCATTCAACTTTGTAATTCAAGATTTCTTTGATAAAATAATACAAAGAGAGTTCTTTTTTGCAAGTGCTGATTGCCTTGTGCCTTCGAAGCTTCTTCTCCTGGAGTTCTTTCAAGTTCTTGTGAGGGAGATTAATCTTCACACTCCAATTTGCCTTTTCATCGCGACTAGGAGGGTTGGTTAGAGTCATTTATCGTGTTTGCCTTTTCATTGCGACTAGGAGGGCTCGATAGGACACTTATCCATCTATTTTTCCACAAATCCATCCGCACCATCAATCATCTTTACCGTTCACCTTCATAAGGGAGATCTTTTGATTTCTTTATTATCTTATTTCATCTTTCATTTATTTATCTTTTGTTTATTTTATTCTAATCGTGTTGTCTTGATTCCAACACATAAAAGAAACCCTAAACAATCCTAGCGACTGCCGCCACCTTCCCATATTCATCACCTTTGTTCTTCATCGAGTCTAGAGCTTTCTAGGTTTGATTCTTCAACAAGAGCAACGTTCATCAATCTGCCACCGCTTCCCTATCAATTGGTATCAGATTTGGGCCGATTCTTGTAAAGAAACAAGCAATCTTGCTTGTTCTAGAACACAAAACCGTCAAGGTACACCAACGGAGCTAGTTCACAAAAGATTTAGCGTTTCAGGTTCTTTTTATTTAATTTTAATTTAGATTCAAATTCTTCTTGTTAGTTTGCTATTTTTTCAAAAAAAACAACAAAAAAAAACAACAAAAAAGAGGCAAAAAACAAAAAAAAAACAAAAAAAAAACAAAAAATCCAAAATTTCAAAAACAATTGCAAACGAAGGTATTTAGATTTGATTTTATGCAGATATCATAATCATCTTAAGTGTAATCTCCAGTCCAAAATTGAATTGAATCAGAGTTCATTAGAGCCTTCAAATACATCATTCAAGTTTTATCGGCAGATTCTGTTTAGAATATTGTCGAATTTCTTGAAAATTCTACAGGAGGAATTTTATGCTGAAATTTCCAGATTTAAACTTCATATATTGGATATCATTAACACAAAAAATCAGAAATTTTGGAGATCAAGAACAACTTCGAAAAAAGCGATCAAGAAAAACAGATTGTTTGAGGACTCACCGTTCAACAGAGTCTACTGGATACTACTGAAGGTATTTGGTTCTGAAATTTTACAGGTGGTTGTTTGACGCATCGAAAGTCATTCAAGAATTTTTCCAGAATTTTTAGACACCGGTAACCTCCTCAAAAACGTTGCTCAAGTTGATCCAGCGTTTTCTAGGTTTTCTGGTTTAGTCCCTTTTTCTTTGACTCTTAGTGCTTTAGGTTCTTTTGTTTTCCCTTGTTATTGTTATTGTTCTTTTGCATTATCTAACACATTATCTTCTTTGTGTTAGTAGGACTAAAGAGTTTGCATACTTCTTCCTTCTTTGCATTCTCGTTCTCTTGGAGTCTAACCTTTGTTTGGCCTCTTAGAGCTTTTAGGTTTTTCTTATCGCCTTTGCTAGTAATCAAACTCCGATACGAACTTTGAAAGACTACTTGGTAAAGTGAGTTTTAAAGAGTATAAGATCGGCTTACTTGCCTCTCGTTGTGTTACTTTATTGGAGTGACTTGTGAGGTTTCTTGCTTTGTTGAATTTTCTTCCTTTTATTTTTATTTTACTTTAAAATTTTCTTTTGAGTGTTATGATTTCAGGATGGGCGACAATAACAATAAGACACTTACGGCTATCTTATCCACACTTACCCGACTCGCGATTCAAGTTGAAAAATTTGATGAAATCGTGTGAGAACGAAAAAAACCACATATGGATCTACCAAACCAGAATCC